GTATCCATTTTAGAGTGAAAACTACAGAAAAACAAAATAAAACCCTAGAAAATTTCAGTTCTACAAGAGATTCGCAAGTTCAGAGAATTCGCTGCCAATTCGAGAAATTGGCCAACCAGTGGATATTGCAAATGTCATAGCATTTTTAGCAGATCGTAAAGCATCTCGTTATATTCTCGGCCAAACACTTGTCGCTGATGGTGGTACTATGCTCATTACTGCTTCGAATGCAGCTGTATTTAAGTGATCTATTCAATCATTGTCTCTGCATAGCTCCAGATTCTATAAAGAATTCTTTGAAACCATTTATTTCCTTTTTTCAAAAGTTTATATAAGTAGCATCACTCAATTCAAATTTCAATTTTAGTGAGTACTATGACTGTCATGTTATGGCATGCACTTATAATATACCAAGAGTGTTCCGGTTTTCTATTAAAAACGATAAACAGTGAACGTTGTTGAGTACTCGGCAGAAAAATTCATAACAGAAAACGCAATGATTTGTAGATGGCGGGCGAAAACGCGTATATAATTTGCAAAGATTTGAAGGTATGAGCTGAAACAACTGAAAAATATTTAATTGATGCCATGGAAAAACTAAAGACAATTGAGTAGTTCATTTACGTAGATATTTGAGAGAAGTGCAAATCGCTGCCATTTATATTCTTATACAAAAGCTAGTGGAAGAGAAACAAAAATGCACTTTTGAAGCTTTATTTTCTAAGCAGTCCTCAATTGGTTCTATTTTGAAAAGAGAACTGTGTGATGACAGATGTGAATTCTTCTAACGAAACAACAAAGATCGATTCTGAATAATTAATTACAGCTAAACGCAACACTGATATTGGATGTATTGGCTAACCTTTCATCAGACTGCCTACTTCAGAACGTGGAATGGGCACTACGAGTGCACCCTATTCAAATAAATGTCTCTGCAGAACAAAGCTTTGAGGCCTACTTGATGATTCAATTTCTCTAACTCTCACTATGTTACGTTTCGATGGATGCAAAAGTTCTCGTCATTCAATCATAAAGGCATTGAATTTCAGGCAACAAACTTATAAAATTACTGAAGTGCCACGTGAGCCTTGAAATCAGTTGTTTTTCAAATTATTCTTTCTTAAATAAACGATATTATTTATTAGCAATATAATACATATCATATTAGCAACCTTCTGTCATTTCCTAATTGAAAGGACGGCGCACCAGCAAGAAATCTTTGACCAGGCGCTGCACATCCTAACATAGAGCCATGTTCCTCAAAGCAGCCACACACTTATAGCAAGCGATGCGGAAAGAAGTGTTTGCTATGCTAAATAATTTGTGAATGGCTTCGAGGCTTTGAAGAAGCAATTGACGTGGTTTTTGCTCGAAATTTCGAGAAGATCAGTATTAGTTCAGATGAGGCACAGTCGGTTGGTCTCTATTTTGAAACGATGCAATCGTTTTTGCTTTTGCTGAGCTGAATGAAAATTTTTATCAACTATTTCACAGACATTGAAAATTTATTAAGATATATTCCCCTTGATTCCCAATAGAAAGGATTTTACATTTATTAGGCGACGTACTAGGAACTTTATGCTAAAAATTAGCTCCACCACAAACAACTTCACCAAAATGAGTATGCCTATCTAGATGATGTGTCTAAATTGTCAGAATCATGTTTGCTTCCAGATCGTGGCGTCTCCTCTACTCTCCAAGTTCTGTATGCTTCTTGCATTAGAAGGAATTCTAACTTCTTCTAAATCTCCTCTACATGTTCTCGTTTCGCCTTATTCATGCAAGTATTTCCCCTGTGCTTTGCTTTTGTACATGGCAATATCCCTCAAATTTCGACTTATGCCATTCCTTGTACGTACATCATTTTCTTTTATCACTGCCTGTGACTCCACTAAGTCTCTTTCGTCTCTAGTTTAATAAGTTAATTTCTCGCAAAAATTCAATTTTCCCTATGTCTCGCCACTATGAATTTTTAAATTTGCATTAAAGACAATTGATGAACAACGCTGCTTGCCACATTTTTTTAACATTCGGCCATTACTTGGTTATTGATTCACTTAAACTTTTTAAATCCTCCTGGTGCCAATTGCAGAATTTAATGCCGTTTCGATGTAGTTCCTTGAGTTATCAGAACAGAGGATAGTTTTATGTTAAGAAATGGGGAAATCTCTGTTTCATAATGCTATATAGTTTGAGTGGATTTTCACCGCACTATTCACATCACTTTAAGGTCATAAATCTCGCAGTAAACCATACTGGACCCTTTGTGGTAATTCAAAAATAAAAAAGATTATCGGGTGATCTAGATATTTAAGGCATAGTAGGAAGCAAATTACTCTTCGAAATAAATTAAAACATACTTCATGGAACAAATTCTTTATGCGACTTTCAAACAGTACTAGGATCTATACAAAGCTTATGCAGATTGAAAAATCACCAGATTCAGGTGGAATAACGGATGAACCTTTCTTTATTCAAAAAGGTTCTCCCAGGATGTTAAGGGATCTTGCGAAGATTAAGTAAAACAAACA